GGTTTTGAAAATGGCTGAAAATTAATTATAAAAATTTTGCAAAATTTGAATGCTCCCTCAGCATAGGCTGACATTACCTATAACAAAGGTGTTGTTAAAAGGTCACAACAAAAACAAATCCATGTATATGAAACATTGTAAAGTTATATTTTTCTTTCCCAGTGGCTCAGCGGTAAGTCAACATACTAACGACGCTAAAAAATCAGGTTTCGATACCTGTGGTGGACAGAGCACAGATAACTCATTATATAGCTTTGCGCTTAAGAACAACCAAATCAATCAGAAACGATAGTGCTTGAGAAACGACAGTAAAAGTTTTGTTGTCCGACATCCGGAAAGCTCTTGTGACCAGATATTTCAATATCTCCAAACACATACGCTCATTGTAGCTAAATGGTGCTACTGTGACTTTGTTTCCTAATTATGATTCATCCCTACTGAGGTGAAGCTAACGTGCTGAAGAACGACACCTTTACCCGTTAATGATGATGTGACACATTCATCTCATCTGTAGTAAAGTTAACGTGCTGAAGAACATTTTTATCCGTTAATGATGATGTGACACATTCATCTTATCTGTGGTAAAGTTAACGTGCTGTAAAGAACGAACACCTTTTGACCCGTTAATGATGATGTGACACATTCATCTCATCTGTAGTAAAGTTAACGTGCTGAAGAACATTTTTATCCGTTAATGATGATGTGACACATTCATCTTATCTGTGGTAAAACTAACGTGCTGAAGAACGACATTTTTACCCGTTAATGATGATGTGACACATTCATCTCATCTGTAGTAAAGTTAACGTGCTGAAGAACATTTTTATCCGTTAATGATGATGTGACACATTCATCTTATCTGTGGTAAAGTTAACGTGCTGAAGAACGACATTTTACCCGTTAATGATGATGTGACACATTCATCTTATCTGTGGTAAAACTAATGTGCTGAAGAACGACATTTTTACCCGTTAATGATGATGTGACACATTCATCTTATCTGTGGTAAAGCTAATGTGCTGAAGAACGACATCTCCACCTACTAATTATGATGCGAAACGTTCATACCTAATTTCATTTCAAAAACATTTGTTAGTACAGATGTATTACAGTTCCAAGCTTTTTCTATACGCTCTAATTTTGAAGAAATGGTTGAAGAATCTGGACCGATAATGCATTATGATAAAGTGAAATGTAGAATTTTTTAAACACTATCTGTTGTCAAGAGGAGGACTATATCCAAAATGAATGATATTTGTATGATCTATTTTGTTTTTATGTAAAAACACAACCACTGAAAGTTACATATATTTCAAACATCAGATTTTCTCCGGGTGTACTCACCATCCAAGGCCACTGTCCAAAATTTGAAGTTTCTCCGCCAACAATTCTTCCAACTGGAGCCTTTTGTGGACGACCGCATACTGGTATACAAAACACTGATTACTATATATTTTACAAATTGCAAGGCTTTATCGCATAGGTTCTTGTATCTACAAAAACGTATCAAAAATGCATATTATATATATATATATTAAGGGTATGATAGTTACTCCTTACAACCAACTAGTATAGAACTATATTACTCCCCGATATATTTTATAACGTGTAGTTACACAGCCCCCCTCTCTTTGTAAGGAGTAACTATCATACCCTTAATATATATATATATACCAACTAGTATAGAAGTATATTACTCCCCGATATATTTTATAACATGTGTTTACACAGCCCCCCTCTCTCTCTATATATATATATATGTGTGTAGATTTGTTTATTTCTGGTATTCCCACAAAGCTACATAAAGGATATCGAACAGTGGGATTTAACCATCACCATCAGAATGAAGGACACGATTTTGTTGCAATGGGACGCGTACCATGGACCCTCAGATTTACAGTCCGGAATGCTCAGCGCTAAGCCACTGGCGGCCCATATATATATATATGTTTGTGTATGTGTGTATTAAGAGAGAGAGATACATTTTAATGCTTTCATAGGGTCCGTATGAAAATAACACAACGTTTAGAATATTCGAAAGGTTACTGGAATTTTAATGTATTCAGAAGGGAGTTTATAGAAATTATCTACACATTAGGTACACACATATTTACAGCTAACATAAAAGTCAAGAATAGATAAAGATTTGGTTATACCAAACTTTGGGCATTAAACTAAAAGAAAATAAAAGAATTACAAATTATTTAGTTACAACAACGATTGTTGTCTAAATCTAAAGCCGAGTTTTACAAATTAAACTGAAAGTAAAATATAACGGATAAAAAGATACCAGAATAAAAATTATGCGTACAGAGAAGACAAAATAGTACAGTAAAAAAATTAAAAAAAGGAAAGTAACAAATGAACATACCTTCCTTAAAATTCGAGGTATCGTTTGAAGTAGGTGGCACTGTTGATGGTGACGTTAGAACAGTTTGGCCGAGGGTTCTCTTTTCGTTGTCTGACATCTCAGTAACAGCTGTCTCTTGCGTCGTTACTTCTTGGATGTGAACCCCAGTTGTAGGCGATGTATTCTCTGTAGTGTCTTTTTCAGAAGTCGTGATTTCTGTTGGTAGTAGTGTCGATGTTAGTTCTGAAGTATCAGTTGTTGTTGTTGCAGTAGGGTTAAGAGTTGAAAAAGAAGCAGATTCTTGTTCCACATTCTGTGCAGGACCAGGATTTATGGTTAAGGCAATCGTAGTAGTCTTGTTTTGATATACGGATGACATTACACTTTCAGTCGTGGTTATATTTGGACGCCATGTCATGGCATCAGGAGTTGACGGTGGCTGTTCCGTGGCTGTTGTACGGATGGTTGTTACAGTTGGAGTGAAAATGGTTGTAGTGTTAATGTTTTCTATTGTGGCTTGACTGGTACTGACTTTATCTGTCGGTGATGCATGGTTTCCTCCCACACTAGGAACAATAGGTTCGATCTCATTCGTCACGATGGAGAACACACCATCAACACCAGTAACCCCAGGAGGTAATTTACAGCAACTTTTGTAGATGAACCCTTCCATACAATGGGTAAGGTGGGTACCATTGGCTAGGCTGCAATATTGGGCAAACATACACACACCTTTCTGTTTCGTTTTAAAGTGTTCGCAAGGAAGATAACCTTTCGCACGACTGTGAACTAGAGGAAAAAAAAAATCTATTATAACACATAATGAACCCGTGGAATAACGGGACGTTAATAAGTTTATGAAACACAGGTGAAAATGGCCACAAACTGTCTTAAACAGATAGTTTAATTTGACTGAAAATGTTTTTTAAAAAAAGATGAAGTCTAAAGGGAAGGCGTTTCAGTAGCCTTACGTTTTCAGAGTACTTGAATTATCAAAATATAAAATACCAATCTCAAAAAAATTTGCTACCTTATCCTTCTTTATTAAAACCCCTATTCCGTAAAGCTGTATTATCTGTGCAAGACAGTTGGTGTCCATTTTTATCTCAGTTTCATCTTGTGCATACTGCCTAAATCACCAGTTAAAGAGCAATTGATTGTATATTTATTAAGGAAATAAGGATAACTTCCCCTTGGCTCAAAGAGATCCCTTCATTACTTTGGTTCACAGTTTCATCATGTGCATATTGCCTAAATCACCAGTTAAAGATCGATTAATTGTATATTTATTAAGGAAATAAGGATAACTTCCCCTTGGCTCAAAGTGATCCCTTCATTACTTTGGTTCACAGTTTCACCATGTGCATACTGCCTAAATCACCAGTTAAAGATCAATTGATTGTATATTTATTAAGGAAATAAGGATTATTTAAACTGGTTAAATTGTTCTTTTGAAGCACTATTTCCAGTTTATTCTCCTTGTCATTATTATGCATTTAAGTAGCGGTTTGAATTTTTGTGTGGGTTCATTTTTCTCATATGCCTTGTCTTGTATATTGGAAAAATAATAATATTAACACAAACTGTAAAATACTGTGAAAATATTGTTATCAAGAAAAGTTTAGTTACATTTGTTATTCTCGTCCTCTGGTGATAAATTATCGAATTATACACTACCGGTCTACATTAGTTTCTGGAGTTAAATCAACCATGGAACTACGCATATTTCATTAAATTGTCAAAAACTCCGTAATAACGGGACGCGAACCACAAACCTTCTGATTTACGGTTTAGGCACGCCCCGCCATTTTCATTGATATAATACCCATTCTTTATTTCCTGCGAGTACAGACAGACGTCAAGAGAGCCGAACATAGATAGCAATCGATGTGTTCGAAGGAAAACGAAGTTTGATTATAAACAAGATTACGACACTTATGATATACAACATTGTTTATTGACAAAAAGGGGACACGTTTATCCATGTTTATCTTGTTTATAATCAAACTTCGTTTTCC